GTACCGTTAAAATTGTTTAAAATGAGATTAATTTATTTCAATTTTAAAAATATAGAAAATTAACTTTAAAATACTCTTTAAAAAAAAAAAAAAAAACCTAACCACCTAGAGCCATTCACCATAATTTAATAGACAATTTTTTACAATTTGTTGTATTATAATCTAATACAACCATTAGAAGAGCCTTACAACGTCATAGCGTGGAACCAATTAGATGCAAAACAATTTTTTTGAAAAATAATAATAATAATAATAATTTTGCGCTGAAGTTATGGTACTAACAGAGAAGGAAACCGTTCTCAGCAAAATTAAATGATTATTCTTACCATAATTCTCAGCAGCAAAAACACAAGATCTGATCATAGTGAGGTTACATTTACACGATAATTGTTACACGTCAGAATTTGAACTTTTTTTTCTTACTTCAAATTGGAAGGAAAAAAAAAAAACCTTAGTAAGTATTCAAGTGCAAAACGACAGCAGGGAAAAATCATGCCGCCTCAGCTGGAGGCGGCTGGTTAAGATCGAAATCGAGGACGGCCGCTCTTCTCTGTGGGCTACCTTCAAAATCGACAACCGAGGATGAATCAGAATCGCTCTGAGTTCCGGCAGTTGTTGCGCCGTAGTAGCCCACAGCAGCCCCCTCATTAAACCTGCATGCCGCCGCACTGGAAGATCCAGCGAAGGCATCGAAGAAGAAAACCGGACGAGCCACGATGGGAATGGAGAACGAGGTGTTGCTGGCCATAGTCAGGTCCAGCGGCGGAGGAGAGGATGACTCCACGGTACTGCTCTGGCTTGGGCTACGAGAGAATTTGCTGTTATGGTTGATATCATTCTCGTTCGCTTCCACAAAATTAGTCTTCGCCTTGGCACCGCGAAACTCACGCGCCGCCTTATCGTACGCACGCGCTGCCTCCTCTGCGGTGTCGAATGTGCCAAGCCAGACCCGAGTTTTCTTCCCGGGGTCGCGGATCTCGGCGGCGTAACGGCCCCATGGGCGCTTCCTGACTCCTCGATACCGGATCTCCTTGGATGTTGGGTTAGGGCTCACCTGACCCGGCTTTTCTCTCGGAGCCATTTTTCTTTCCCAGGGAGTTTTTGTATTTCAAAGGGGAAAATACGATGGTTCTTGACGGGTTTAAGGCTTGACGCTGAAGAGGAGAGTTGTGAGGGTTGGTTTATATAGAAGGAAAGGAGAGACTGACGGATTGGGGTGTATAATCCACGCTCCTTCTAAAGCTCGTGTCTGTGAGGAAAGTGGGGACGTGCCTTCCCTTGCACGAACCCTTCGTGTTAAAATGCAAAAAATTGATTGAAAAAAGAGAACAACTCCTCTATTGGGCCTTAAGCTAAATCAATTCATGTAATAATACCCCTCTTAAATTTTCTGATGATTCAACCTCGTCATACTAATCTCAAATCTCTATTAACGTCCCACTTATCTCAGCCCCGTAAACTCATGTGGACATATAAAAGCAAGATGAAGCTTGCTAAAAGTAAAGTCGAGTCGGATATTTAGGTTAGAGTATATTCTACATATTAAAGCATTAAATAAAGTATTAATTAGAAAAATATTTTTTTAATTATATGTCTTAAAAGTATATGATAAGAATGTATTTATTATATTTTTCATTATAAATATATATTAAAAATATATAAAAGTTAATATTAATTTTAATGTCAGATAAATTTAATTA